AAACTTACTACTTCAAACTTTTCATTACATGGCAAAAAAGGAAAAAACTGACTTTAAGTACGAGTAACTCTGTTGCCTATCTTATTTCTTAGATGATTAACCGGATGTCTATGGCCTTTCTTTAACACATGGAGGTCATCCATGTGTTAAAGATTTTTTTTTGAATTCTGCTTTAGAGTACGAGACAAATTTTCGAAAAATTTGTTGCAATAACAAAAAATAAATCTTATAGGAAATCGCAGAATGGGGAATCAAAGGAAATATAATCAAAGTTTACAACTACAAATTGAAGATTTCGAAAGACAATTCAGACAATTTGATACCCTTCTCTCAATAATGAGTTTTAAAAAAAACCTGTAAAAAATCGTGTCATTAATCAGGAAGGCAGAGGGATTTTTGTAAATTCTTATAAAATTTTTTGATTCTTTGTACCTAAAAAAGTTTGTTTGGACGTTGATTTGTTTTTTAAAAATGGATCAAATCTTTCCCCTTGTGCGCTTATTCGATACAAAAACGCAGGAATGGATTTTTTTGCCAATTTCTACTACTTCTTTGCTGGATCAGTAGAATCAAACACACACAAAGAACTTCTATTTGTTTTTTTTTCGCACCAAGCCTTCCTAAATCAAGACTTCTTGGTACAATTATTAGATTCCTGTTTTGCCTAGCTGTCAAATTTTTTGCATTTAAGGGGCAATATTCCCTTTTCCAAATAAATCTTGATGGAAGCCGTATTCTTCTAAGAATAAAAGTGATAACCACAATCGTTTTAAAAACCATTTAGGATGTTCACTTGAAGCTTACAATTTTGAATTACCGCTCCTTATTGAAGTCCATATCTATAGAAAGAGCAGAGCCAAGACCATCACATCTATGATGCCAGTGTTGCAAGGAGAAAGGTTCCGTTACCCCCACTGAATTATCATGAAAGATTGTTTCTTCACTGTATACTGCATTGCCTGTTATGACCTTTCATTGACCATTTGGTCCGATAACGACACCAGCTGGGTAGGATCCGAAAAACAATTCTCGATGTGTTTTCTGCCTCGAAAAGAAAGCTAGTCCAAAAAGGTAGTATATGGAAACTGAGAGAACCTCAACCCTACAATCATAATGTTTCATTAGAACGACGCTTTTCTTATTTTGCTTATTTTAGACCAAAAAAGAACCCACATTGTTTGCAAAAGATGAAAATGGTTGCCTTGGAAAATTTCGGCCAAGTGCTGTTTAAATGCTTAGGTTTTATTTGAAACCAAAAATTACTGCAGTAAAGTCATGGGAGTATTTGAGCTGGCAGAACTATAAACAAAATAACCACGACTTTTGTTGCTACCAAAAACAAGTTTTCGACTCAAACGTCACCATTTTGTACCGCAACAAAATCGACAGACAAAAAATTCAACTATAATGCGAAACACCCCGCGTTTTTTGGTTCTTCCAACTTTATCCCTCTCACGGGCAAAATTATCCACCTAATTGTAATCGACTATGACACAAAATTCCAAATAAACCTTGAAATAAGGCGTAGTTTCTTGAAACGTTTGTGATATCTACCTTAGTTATCAAAAGCAGTTGTTATTTATATACCTATATTTGCGTCTTGAGTCTCCGCGTTTTTTTAAAAGTCAATCAAGAAATCGAATTACTTCTTGGAAGTGCGAAACCAAAAGTATCACAACTATATCATCAGCGCTTAATATAGAAAAGTTCGCATACCGCTAGTGACTTTTCACAAACTCTCGAGCCGATTGCGGACTTTTTTAACGATTCAATCTGGAAGAGTTCGGAGAAGCAATGTGACCTCCTGTTTACCAGCATGATCACAGGCCTATAGATTTTGAGATTGTTTAATCATTGTGGCGAGTTCATATAAATGGCAAGCAAACGATTCATTACTTTCAATATTTCAAATCTCGCAATGTTTGGTATGCAATATTCTCGAGTAAACAAAAAGTTGCAATATGCAAAAGTATGCAATATTCTCGAGTAAGCAGGAAACAAAAAGTTCTTTGATTAGAGTCTGAATAGAAAAGGATAAGAAGTTTTTATAAGGCAGCAGCCAATAGAAAAATGTTTTTTTTTTTGGAATGAAAGTTTTATTTTAAAGTAGAGCCCACGCAAATTCCTCTGAGAAATCTTGTCAGCTCACCAACGATTTATGCCGTGTTCAGTAACATTTTCCAATTTACGAGAATGAGTCGTATCTAAATGAAAATTCTCAATAAGTTGGTTTCCTTTTCCTTTCTACTGATCAGTTTGCTCTCTCATACACACGAACACACAATCTCTCTATTCCACCAAATTGAAATTTTAACTGGGAGTTTTTCTTGGTCCAAAAGAATCCTGCAATGAGAAAGTTCATTTTCAACCGTGCTTCAAACTATTTAACAAAAATGAATAGTGTAAACCGAAAAGCAACAATCTTACGCAATATTGTCAATTAAAAATCCTATTATTCACGCTGCAAAAAACTTCTGCCAAAAAGTCAGCTAATGTCAAAAGTTTTTCCAATGCAGTAGTTATGGAAGCATTGAAGCTTGCAAAGAAAACTTGATTGTTTTTGAATTAAGAAGTACACATCCAAAAAGTAATTTTTTGCATCTGAGGAGAATGCACTTTCCAAACAAATCTTGATGAAAGGAGTAGTCTTCTAAGAATTAAAGTGATAAACACAATCGTTTTAAAATTCAGATAGGATGTTCACTTAAAGTTTGCAATCTTGAATCACCGCTTCTTGTTGAAGTCATTCGAAAACCAGCGTATTATCTATAGAAAAAGCAGAGTCAAAACAATCACGCCTATGATGCCAGCTTTGCAAGAACAAAGATTCGGTCAGCGCCTCTGACTTTTCAGGAATTGTTGAATCAATTACTGATTTTGTACGTTTCAATCAAAACGAATTCGGAGCAACAAAATTGCTCCTTGTTTACAAGATGATTACAGGCCTATATATTTCGAGATTGTTTCATCACTGTATACTGCATCGCCTATTATGCTATTCCATTGACCATTTGGTCCGATAAAGACACCAGCTGGCTGGGATCCGAAAACAACGTATCGAAAAAAAAGCTAGACCAAAAAGGTAGTATATGGAAACTAGGAGAACCTCAAACCTACTACCATGAGGTTTCATAAGGACAACTTATTCGGTGTTGCTTAAGAGTGTGTTAACCAATCAAAGGAAGTATCAAACTCATTATTATAGTTTTTGAAACAATTTTGTGTCTTGCAGAGAAATCTCACAATGTCTGCAATATCGATGAGTGCATGATCGGATAGTATTGAAGTGCTATACCGAAATTTTTTCTTTTTGGCCAAAACTGCTCCAGCTTTTTTCCGCTCCTGTTGTAGGGGCACTTTGACCCTTGAAAGCAAGATAACGCAGCCCAAAGTTTGCCAAACGCATCTCGAGCTGTTCGACATGGTATTACATTCCAGCGCTGAACAAACGCAAGTGGTATGCCGATGAAGACGTTCGAACGAAAACCGTTGGCTAATTCTGGAATTGTAGACAAACGTAGCCCGAACGGACATTAGTAGACCCTTGGTTATGGGAACAAATTAAACCGATTCGCTTTCATCGCAAACTGCATCGGGAACTAAAACGACCTACTGTAAAACTTGTTCCAACAATTTCTTTTAAGAGAGCTTAGAATATTTTGGGGGAGCAAACGAATAGTTTCTGAGTTGTCGCCCCAATGTTACAACGAAAAAATCATTTATTTTAACGAACAGGTACTACTTTTTCACAAACAGTAAATGCTAATTTTTGATTTGATTTCACTACAGGAGGCAACTGAGCAGCTGCATCATCCATAACTTAATGAAAGAAGCTTGAGATTTGAAATGTTTTTCCAATTTTCCTTGAATCAAGTAAAGAAAATGATAGTCTCATGCTCGGAACAATCGCTATAAATGTTTAATTTGGTTCACAAACTTTTTGTTGCTACAAAAAAGTTAAATATTTTGCGTTTTCTCATTGAAAAAGTTCTTGTGGTATCTATTTGGTGTTTCTTCGAATCTAAATACTTAGGAAATTAGGACAATGAATGCTGCTTAGTTGATACTCTAAAATCTTTTACTGGATCAGATTTAAAAAAAATTACACTCCAGTGCAATTAATTTATTTCCAACATTTGCAAAGAAAAAACAGATTTGTTTTTTATTTTTTTTTTTCGAAATCTTAAAGGAATTCAGCTAACAATAGCTGCAAAGATAGTCAATTTATCTCTTGCTCACATAATTAAAGGATTTACAATACTAAAGGCTCAACCATTTCGGAACATAACCAGCTGATCTAGTCCCTCAACTACCAAAAAAAAATCAAATGCATTTAAAAAAAAAGCTGCCTGCAGCAATAAAGGAGGTCATTGGAAGATTGCTGCACAATAAAACAGCTGTTTTTTTATCATTTCAACTAAGCGGAAAAACATTTAATCAAAACTCTCTAACAAAAAAAGATCAGCGCGTGATTCAGCGGACACTAAATCAAGTGTTAATTTGTGCAAATTTTACGCTACTTATTCAGCTTATTTCTAAATAAAATAACAAAAAAGATACTTTCCTAAATTTTTCTCATTTATGAAAATGTTTACAGTAAACAGTGTCCCAACTCCCACAAAAATAATTACTGTAAACAGCTTCGCAGCTCATCGTGTCTATGGCCTTTCTTTAACACATGGAGGTCATCAATAGGACTCGCGCATATCACCCGGCATGATTTTTTTTTATTCTTGAATCTAATACTTGTCCTTAAAAATAACACTGAAAGCATAACCCGTAAACTTGGAGTTCGATTTTACGGGGCATTGAAATGTCCTTTTTTTGAAGAAGAAAAAAAGAAATTTCGAACGTTGGTTTCGTCAGTATAACCTTGTGATTAACCTTCATTTATTTTTTCTGTATTTGCTCAGTCAGATCATGTGAAAAAACTATCGAGCTCTAAAGCGTATCAGATGCTACGAGATAATGATTTAGACTACCTTACAAATGAGCCATACATTTTCCCATGATCTTGACAAATTCGTCGCAGACCATCAGCTTTGATTTCTTTAGTTGCACTCCGATATGCTCTTTCACACTGTGAATGGCGTCAAATACTGATCCAGTATAGTCGTCATGGCGATAAATTTTTTCATAAATTCCTAAACTATAATGGTGTTAATTCTAATATCGTTGCAGGATGAAGCTCCAAAACCCGTTCAGGATGGCAAACCATCATCAAATATCTATCTAACCGGCTGCTGTCAAAAAACACAAGCTGACCACCATCATGATTTTTACCACAGTTACTGAGTCTTTAGAACAAGGAAAACTTCTATCAAAACACTTCATTTTTTGAGATTTATTTTTGAATTTTGCGCTTTTTCGGATGAACTATTTTATCCACGAGTGTTTTTGAATGGCTTTGTTGAAAACATATATGTTTCATTTAAACTCGTGACTCAGATTAATGGTGTGAGCAAATTACAATGTAATTCTATTGCAGGTGTTTTCGAAACTTTGCTCAACACGGACAAAAGCAGTTGATTAAGGTTAAAATCACAATAAAAAATTGTATAGACTCAACAAAAATTGTTTGCTGCTTGAAACTTTTAGCGGCTACGTCGATTGAAAAATAGGTGGTCGGACAATGAGCAACCTCGTCGAATACTAACCCATTGGATGTAGAAAATTTACACCATATGGCTCGAGAAGCCCCTGCAAGATATCTGCAAGGAGCGTGTAATGAATAAGGCCGGGGAGTGCAGAAACTTTATACGGAAAATGAGAATCTGTGGTAGACAGCTTGAACACTTCCACAGCAACTCTTGCGAGGAAGACCATCAACATTGTTTTGCCAGAACCTTTGCAGCCAGTCACGACAAGTCGCAAATAACCGTTTTCAGTCGGATTAAGCAGATGTTTCATCACTTTGGCTGTTATATTCAACTGCTCTTCTGTCCACATTATGAAACGCACTTTTTCGTTTCTCTCTTGTTTCTCTCTTTGTTGATGCCATTTTGATTTTTGATGTGCTTTCGAGAATTGATTTGGTATCCTGATCAAAGTCTTTAAATTGACTAGCTTTTTTGGAGAATTGGCCTTTGCTTTTGTTGGTAGCCTGCATGTCATTTAAAATCAGTTGCTCATGGATCAATGCCGCAGAGCTTTCTAGTGAGCTAAGAGCGACCAATCGTGCTACAGCAACGTCAAAAAAGTGCTTGTCGTTGAGGTTGAAATTCGAAATCTCTGCTAGGTTCTGGTTCCACTGCTTTGCAAAGCTATCTACCGTTAGCTCACTTTTGCTGAGAATAAAAGTCCGATTATCTTTTCCATCTGATTTTGCGATTGAGTCAATTTTTTTCTTATTGTCATCGTGTAGCAGACAAATAACGGAGTGTATCGGAATTGGATCCACTTTTTCTTGGCCATACTGTAACAGCATTCGTATGAAGTTAGCATGACGCTCAATGTCATTTTGTATATTCTGGGGTGTCAGTTTTTCGCCTTGATTTTTTACATTGAACACGAAGAATCCCTTAGTTGGGTGAGCTAAAACTGTGTCAATTTCAACTTGTGCACTTTCTGTTTTGAAAACTTCTTGGGGGTTTACATTCGGGAATACCATCACACCTTTCTCGTTTGGATCGACCGCGTCCAAGAGCAATCTGTAAACTTTGATTTCTCCGACTTCTCCTTTTAGCAAATATTTGAACTCATCCTGAAGTTTTTTAGACATTTGAATATTATTCAAAAAGAGTCTGGGAACCCTAGCTATTGGAACCGATGATATGTTTCCAACTTTTTCCCAATTTGGGTACTGCAGTCGAAGCATTTTGATCAAATTCTCATTGTCGCGAAAAGGAACTCTATGTGCTCCCGGCATTTGTAACTCGAAAGTGTCCAGTTCGCGGGAAAAAGCACTGAACGCTCCATATTTGTTCAAAACAAATAATCGTGCCACAAAAACGTCGAAACGATATTTATCGCTTAAATCGGGATGATGGGTCATCTTTTGGTTCCATTCCGAGACAAAATTCTCGTGCATTAGTTCATTTTTCCGGAGGATCCAAGGTTGATTTCCGCCTAGCTCCGTCGATATAGAGGCAAAATTTTGAATTTTGTCGTCATGCAGTAGGCAAATCACTGACTGGATTGGGACTGAACCCTCTAATTTGTCATGACCGTAATCTATCAGCATTTTCATGAATTCGCAGTTGCGGTTATTTTTGTCCAGTAAAATTTCTGCGTTTTTGTTCTTTTCAGAACTCGTTGTGAAAACAAATATTCCCTTTGTTGGATGAGCAATCACCAGGTCAATTTGAAAATCCGCATTTTCAAAAACGCCGAGTTTTCTGGAATTCAGATTTGGAAAAAGCATCAAACCTTTCTGATTTTTGTCCGCGGATTTCAAAAACAACTTGTAGACACCAAAAGCTCCTTGTCCCTTGCTATTCGTGATTCGTGGAGGAGTTTTAGGGCTAGGGTTAGGGTTATCTATCGGAACCGAAGAAGTGCAGCCTTCCTTTCCCCAGTTGGGATGATGATTCTGGAAAACTTTGAGCACTTCTGCATCATCGCGGAATGAAACTTTCTGTCCTCCCGGTATTTGTAACTCCAAAGCCTCCAGATCTCCCTTGAACAAATCACCATCCGAGCTCTGGGCCATTTTTGTTTCACTCAAATTTTCTGGTTTCAAAGCAAAAAACTGAATAAAAACCAAAATAAATGTACAAACTGAGAGAAATAAAGAACGTGCTTTGTTTTGCCAATAGAGTTGTTTTGAATGTTTTTGATAGTAGTTAATTTCAAATCGATGATTAAAAATCAGCTTATTTTGATTTTTGTTTTGGTTGCTGTAGATGATTCTGTTCACATAAGGTAAAAATGTAAAAAATGCAATGCGATATAATAATAGTTATTTTTTTTGCGTCATTTTAAATGTCATTTTTGTTTTTCTTTGCAATTTTGGCACCTTACGTCATAATTTTGCTAATTTTTACCTCATGTGATCAGAATTATCTTCTGCTGCCAAAACTAAATCGAAACAAGCTTTTTTTTGAGATTTGAATTAGTTTCTAGATTACATAATTAATCTTAAGCATTTAACCACGGTGCAAAAAAACATGTTTTTTGGTTTTCGCAAATTGTATTGTTTAAGTGCGAGTGCAACTTTTTCACAAATACTTTGCTTTAAAGCTCTTAGCATTAGAAATTTTGGTTGAGTTTACAGGAAAAAATTATTCCTGATATAACATGCGCATTATTTTTTCATGAGGTAATTTGCAGCACTGACTGGTAGTTAGAATATAGACATTGATACCGCTCAATTATATTCATTTTCTTTCAATTTTACAGAGAAAGTTGGTGTTTTATTCTGCAACTGTTCCCTGCTTTCGAAAGTTTCTGTGCATATCACTTTTTTTCTATCGGAGATAGTATGTAAGATCTACTTTTCTCTGTAAATTCTAACCAACAATTAAAATATTGGTCTGAGTCTGTAAACCCAAACATTCACTGACAGCTCTTCGACATTTCAGCACTGATTATTCATATATTATGGGTAGATTGTTTATGTACTTTTATTATGCTCTAAAAATTAAAGTAGTTGATTGATGTACTAAGGGGAAGAAATTATCTCTTTTTTAAGTCATGACCAATTTTGAAGAAATTAAGTCTTGAATAATTTTGAGCTTCGTAAGGAATGCGGTGGCGTCAGTAAGGGGTCTAGGATGTTAGCCAACAAGCGATTTAGACGATCGTAAAATAAATGAATTAGATGATATTTTTTTTTGAATTCAGACGTCAAAAACTTGGTCAAGGAAATTTTTGCTTACAATGAAGTTACACAAAAAAAGAAGGAGTTTATTCTCACAAAACTGAACACAAAGGTTTTAGTGTAATATTTTCATATTAAATTGAATCAAAAAAGTACAGTGAATTTTTGAATTGCATTTATTATGCAATTGTGACATAAATAAGTTGATTTTTGATTGGATAACCAGTGTTAACTCAGCCAAAATTTAATCTAAGTCTGAAACAATTTTGACGCAATTTGCATGCAAGTTAGCGTCTAAGTTCTGTTACACTCTAAACGTCTATTTTCCTTGTAGTCTGTTTTCATTAACCCCAGTCCATAATGATTAAAAGTCCAAATGAGGAAGATCTAATTTCAGCCAATCAGATTTGTGTATTCAAAAATCTCAAACAATCGCCAACTTTAAAATTAAGTTCATGAATTTAGGCTGCTAAAGTTGAAATTGACCCCATGCAAAATAAGCAGAGAAATGATTTGTTCAAAATTGTCAGATACAAGACGCATTGTTAAAAATTAATATTTTAAGGATACTAATTTTCTGAAAAGAGAAAAACGAATCTTTAAGGATACCATTTTTATAAAAAAAAAGAAAAAAGAAAACGAAATTTATTTGATGTCAGCAGCAAAATTTAGTTGGACTGTTACAATTCAATTTCTTTAAATTTATTATTCCAATCATTTTCCAAACATAGCCTAGAAAAGCGCAAATCTTTGAGAAAGCTCCTCTCCAGGCTAACCAATAAATTATAGCAATATCTATAAATGAACGCTTCGGTTGTGGTCAAATAGTAGAAAACTCGCTCCAACTAAAAAAAAAATTTTCGAGGTCAATGAATTCAATTTTTTTCTGCAAGAAAATCTTCATGCATTTGAATTCGTTAAGCTTTTGTGTAGCTTAAATTTGTTCGACCGTGCAAAAAAAAATTTTAGTGAAAATTATTATAAATTAATAAGGAATGCCGCATTCGCCAACCTTTCATATACTTCTGTGGTAACAACAATTTGATGAGACAGAAAACTGGTTCCGAGTGTTGGATGTTGTTTATAAACCTAACAAGAAATCAGACGTCTTCAGTTTGAAAATTGGGATTTTTTTCTAAGTATCGTTTCCGACAAACATAAATCATATCTTATAGTTTAATAGCTAACTGACTGAAGTCTCACATTTTTTTCTAAAATCATTGCTTTGATTTGATAATTCAATCGAATCAAATTTTATACGTTACTGAACGGAGGGAACATTACACTCTAAACGCCTAGTTTCGAGTGAGAAACTAAAAAAAGTTTTTATTTTTTCTCCAATTATGCTTATTAATTATAACATGCACTGCAAAAACAATGCTGACACCCCATAAGTATTCATAAACTTACCGAAAGAGGGCTAAGCCAACAAAATTTTTAAAAAGTTTGAAAAATTTGCCTTTTTAAGAATTTTTAATAGCAAGTTTTTAGCGCCAAAAAAGTCTATAAAAAATTCCGAAACAATAACGAAAACTATTTGCCTAATATGAATAAACATAATAAGATTTATTCAAATTAAATTTTCAATCCAAGTTTAAAAAAAGATAAAAACAAAAGTTTGATTTTTATTCATTAGAAATCTCAAATAATTAAAATTAGTTTCAGTTAAATAGTGATTCATCACTGAAAAACAAAAAAAGCTGAAAAGGGAAAAACTATTCAGTTTATTTGCTGCCCTCGCTTAATGTTTTGTTTGTGGATTGATTACGTTCAAATGTTTTTTTAACATCTGAAGAACCAGAAATTCAACGATGCCAGGACTTCAACGATTACATAATATTACAATAATTTCCGAGAAATTGTTAGAGTTCAGAAAATGCCATTTTCGACAATTTTTTTTTAAAAAAAAACATTCATCTAAAGAGCTACAGTACATTTTTGAAAAATAATAATTATACAACTGTGAGGAAAGTGACTTGATTTTTTATTGGATAGCTAGTGATTACTCAGCAAAAAGTTGATCTATGTCTGATAAAATTTTCTCGCAATTTGCACGCACGTTATCGCCTACGTTCAGGTACAATTTAAACACCTGATTTTCTTTTCGTCTTTTTTCCTTAACCGCGGTCCGTAATGATGAATATACCAAATTAGGAAGATCTAAGTTCAGCCAATTGAATTTATGTATTCAAAAATCTCAAAGAATCTCATCCTCTAAAGTTTCGTGAATTAATTCAGGCTACTAAAATTAAACTTGACCCCATTGAAAATAAGCAGACAAATATTTTTATCAAAACTTCTCAGATGCAAGACGCAGTGTAAAACCTTAATACTCTAAGGATACCAACTTAATAACGAAGGAAAAAAGAAAATGAAATTTATTCGATATCTGAGCAAAATACAGCAGAATTTGATTGCACTGTTAAAACTTTAATTTTGCAAATTTATGATCCAAAACAATTTGCAAAAGTAACCTGAAAAAAGTGCAAAACTTTGAGACCGATTCTCCCCTTGAAATGACTGCTTACAAATGAACCATATCAATATTCAAAATGAAGTTTTCAGTTCAATCAAATAAGAGAGAATTAGCTTCAACTAAATTTTTTATCGAGACCCGTTAATTCAAAAATTTTCTGCAAGGAACTCTTCATGCGTTTGAATTCCTTAATTTTTTTAGTAGCTTAAAAGGTTATTCGACTGCGCAAAAAACAAAAGATTTCAATGACAATTATCCGAAATTAATATGGAATATCTTTTTTGCCAACCATTCCAATACTTTTGTGTTTAAAACAATTTGATGAGAAATCAAGTTTTCAAGCGTTCAGGCGTCTCCAATTTGAAAATTGTGACTGTTATGTTTTCTATGTATAATTTCCGATTACGCATTCGAGAAAACAAAAACAAATCACATATAGAAATATTATACCGAATTGAATGATAAATGATATCCCGCATTATATTCTAAAGTCAGCGCATTGATTTGAAAATTGAATCGTAACAAACTATATACATTGTTGAACGAAGAAAACATGTCAGAAAGTTTCAAAAAAAAAAGTTGTCTTATTTTTCTCCAAAAATGCTCATTGAGTGAAACACTTACTGCAAAATTTTTTTTACATCCCATAAGTATTCATAAACATATCGAGCGGCGGCTGAGACAATAAAACTTGTGAAAACTTTTGAAAAACTTGAACTTAGAAGAATTTTAGGTCGCAAATGCCGAGATACTTGAATTTTTCATCTATCAATTTAACAAGCAATTCAATTGATTTTGTTGAACAAATTGTTTGCGCGAAAAGAGTCTAAAACCCGATTTGATAACGTAAGCCAATCGCTTATTATGAATAAAGTTAATATGATTTTTTTGAATTAAAATTTCAAACTAAATTCACAAAATTTTATAAACAAAAAATGAATTTTTGCTCCTTAGAAAGCTCAATTATTTAATTTTTTTTCAGTTAAATAGTGATTTCATCAATGACAAACAACAAAATGCTGACAAGGGGAAAACTTTTCAGTTTATTCGCTTCCCTCACTTAATGTTTTGTTTGTGGAAAATTACGTTAAAATAATTTTTAACATCTGAAGGTTATTGATGTCAGGAATTCAGAACTCAAAGATTATTTTATATTCGGAAATTTCTACGTTCATCAGTTTGACATTTTTGTATTGTAAATATACAAGCAACGTTTTTTTTCAACCAAAATCGGAGTGATTTTGGGAAGTTGAATTTAATGTACTGAGTTGCGTTGTCAGTATTAAAATGTGGTTAAATAGCAGCAATATGAACTTGTTATATCAAGAAAATATGGTGGTGAAAAATTAGAGGGTTAAATAACAAGTTAAACTGGAGCTAATCTGTCCTATTTTTTCGGAGAAGTTAAATGCTTTAGACGCTTTTCATATTTCATATGATACAATATTTGACTGAGTTTTAAAAAAGTCATCCACAGTTTTCGATGCGCTGAGTTCAAATACAAAAAGATCTACTAGCTTTTTTGTGAACTCTTGGTTGTTTAAAAACTGCCCGTTTAGCTGTTTGTCATGTGCTTATTTGGGTAG